TTTTGTATGAAAATGAATTAGATGTAAAGTTTTAAAGTATTTTGTAAATATGGGACTGCATAGTGCAGTGTTAAAAACTACGTAGTATGGGAAGCTAGATTTTGCAAGTTTAATGCATTCATTTGAAGCAGTTCTCACAAAAAGCACTTTCCAAGTATGACACTTGTCTAAGGAAGAGAATGGTACACATAGCCAAAGAAGGTCAAAATAGATTATTTATCAAAACATTAAAAATGTATATTAGTATTTTAAAAATACTGTAAACAGTGAAACAGGCAAGAGAGTACATTAATATATGCACATATATGTACATATATGTGCATATGTATACTTATATACGTGTAAGATATATTTTTAATTGAAAGATAGTATGCCTAATGGGAGCAGAGAAATTGGGCCATTTTGAAAAAAAGTGTTCTAATTTATGTGCTAGGAAACAGCTAGTTATTTGAGGGGATGGGATTAACAGTTCAGGATCTTCACTGTAAAAACAAAATCAGTCTGACTTTATTTGTCTGGGGCTTTAGAACTCAGTCAAATTTCTAGGCCTGAAAAGCACTTGTGAAATTGGGAACTTTTGCACATTACCAGAATTCTCATTTGCTAAAACTGAATGATTAGTCTTGCAAAGTCTAGGTGATGTGATAACAATTGGTAATATTTTTTCATATTACAGGCCCTGTAATGAGATTTGGCACTTGGCTTTTGTTAATAAAAGGGAATATTTACAGGGTTATTTTGATTTATAGTGAACTATTTTAGATCTGTTAGCAAACACTAAATGTTAATTGTACTGCTTATTTAGAGATATTAGTAAATAGAAGCCTCCATATTTACATTTTCAGTGCATCAAGTCACCTTATTGCTTTACTTCAGAATAACATGCCAAGTTATCTTGTGTTCACTAAATTTAGCTACCATTTAAACACTGCAGAAAAATATTAATTACTCAAATAAGTAGGCTTCTGGAGATAATCACTACTGCAAGTGTATTAAAATTATGTAGTGGTTTTATGCCTTTTCCCCAAATAGATTAGGCTATGAAACATCATTTAATATACTTAAGCATAAAGAGAAAAAACAAAAGCTAAGCAGTCCATCTCTTGTGTTACGTTTGATCATTTTGGCTTTTGTTTTAAGCAGTGACTAACAAGTATAGCACCATAATTTGTAGATTGCTTTAATTGGTTAACAGAGTAAGCATCAGAATAATAGATAAAGTTGGGCTATTTCAGCTTTTTTTTTCTTAATTGAAATGATATCTTGCAACTGTAGTTTAAACATTTTAGGCTTCTTTTTCCAAAAATCCCAGTGTGTTGCAGTACACAGACATCCTGACATGTGGCCATGGGGAAGGGGATGCATTTAATTGTCAAGACATGCAGCTAAAGAATACAAAAAGAGTTATGATACTAGCGAATAATGTTTATGATGAGGACATACTTTGAAAATGTAATTCCTCTGTACAGTAGATTGCCAATCTTGAGGTTGTGGGGGTTTTTGTAATAGAGAATTTATATTTGTAATGATATGAGAATTTTGTTTGTAATCTGATACATAGAATTTTAACTTGTTGGAGCACTTAATCTAAACAGTAATAAGAGAGAGTGTGTCATCTAAGTCATGAAGATTGTTGTCTCAAATGTTACCTCTGGAATTTCCCCCTCAAAGTAAACAATTAAAATTGGCCAATTAAGAATTAGTTTTAAAAGAACTGAAGAGCAACACTCTTGTTTATCTTGGGACATTTAAGCCATAATACATTTATCTGGCAGAGCATGGGTAATAACAATTTAAACCCTAGTGCCGGTATCTGACGTTGCATAGGAAATAACATTTAAAGCCTTCAAAATTAAACTTTTTTGTTCTATAGTTTCTCCAATCAGTTCTTGCTAATTTGAATAGTTTATTGGCAACCATATTTTAATTGTATAATTGGAACAATTTAATAAATTATTTTAAGCACTTGACTACAGTAACATTAAAATCTTCCTTTTTTGATATAAGCTATATTCTTTGGCACAATATTAAATTGAAGTCTAAAATTGGAAGTGTATTAAGTCTGCTTTTTGTTTTAAAATATGGTTTACATTAAAAAAGTTTTGAAGTTTTTTTATGCTTCACATGGCAAAGTTTATTTTAGCATGAGTTAACAGCATAAAAATATGCTGTAATTTTAATAGATGTTTGAATAAAAATTCATTTTCACTTTAAAGTATATGGCCATTCTTATCTAGTTTTTGCTAGGTAGGTTTCCCTATGGTTCATTATTAAAACTGTTCAACTAAATTTTGTTTACTGCATTACAACTATTCTCCCAATGCTTGAAAGTTATCGATAAAGTTGATTTAGAAAGCCAAATGGATAAAAGTTTGAAACTGCTCAACTATATACTTTTAGAAAAGACCAGAAAAATACACACTGTATTTACCCTTTTTTGGCCCTCTCAAAAGTTTACAGATTCTTTATCTTATTTTCCTTTTATCTTATTTTCCTTCCTGGTCATCCATAAATTATAACTTGTTACCCAGGCAACTAAGATATTACTTATTGCAGGCACCCAGATATTAAGAGACTGGCCCAGGATCACATATCATAGATGAGTCAGAGGTGGCAGAGTAGGAATACGGACCCGGGGACTCAGACTCCAAAAACATTGTCTTTTTTTCCGTAGGTACAACTTGCTCCCCAAAGAGTTCAGACCTCTTGCCACAACAGATGCCCCAATCTAGAGGAGAAGTAGACAATGCATTTGGAGATCTTAGGCCAATTGAGAGTGACCCAAAAACCCAAATCACCTTTGATGAAGGGAAAATTTCCCAGAAGCACACAAAACCTTAATACATCCCAGCTTTGCCACTAACTGTGACTGTGGATAGCTCCTTTCCATCCTCTGGACTTCTTTTTTTCCTCCTCTGTAAAATGAGAGAGAGGTTAGATTAGTTGACCTCTAAGTTTCCTTTCAGATCTAATAAATGGTTGTTGGATACATGTTTTTATAGTCTAGCATTTTTGGAGAAACTACATAGACTAATCACCAAAGGAAAGAAATGCAACTCTTCCAAGTGGCACTTGCAGCTGTCTTAGCTCCTCCACAAGAAAAGAAAGGAGGCACTTAGAGCTACAAGATACTTGATAAAAAACTACAGATATAGATGTGGTAAGGGTGGACTATGCCCCAGTCCACTAGTGACTAGGGCATTTCTCAGAGCTGTGCCCCTTTTGGTGAGAGTATTCTCAGGCATGTTTCTGAAGAATAGGCACCACACAGTAATTTCTGATTGGGTCCTTGGTCCCCCAGATTGGGGTTGTGCTGAAGATGAAAACTGCCCTTCTCAGCAGGGTATAAGAATAGCTGTAAAGGCCTTCCTTCCTTCCTTCCTTCCTTCCTTCCTTCCTTCCTTCCTTCCTTCCTTCCTCCTTCCTCTTCCTCTCTCTCTTCTTCTCTCCCTCCTTCTCTTTGATAGCTCTTTCTTGGCTTTCAGAAAGGGAGGAAGGGGAATCTCCCTCTTGCCTCTGTCTCCCCACTCCCACCCCTCAGCATCACTGGCAGCTTTTACAAGTACATTGAGTGAGCATATGTGCTTTCCTAACTGAGCCCAAGTCTCTGGATATCTTCTGCTGATTTTGTGTTTCTTCCCTGAGTACTGATCTGCCATTTTCAATGCTGAGAGTAGACTTTGTAGCTTAGGCGACTGCCTTGTGAGTTTGGGAGATGCTACACATTACAGGAAGTGGTAGCCAACCATAAGGAGGTGCAGCTGCCCATAGGGAGGTACTTCTGCAGCTACATTGCTGTTCCAAAGAGGTCACCACCAGCAGTATCATCCTGAACCTGCAAGACCAAGAAAGCCCAAACTATACCCTGACTGACCAAGAGATCTAGACCTTGTGGGGTGCTCAGAAAGTACAGATCTAGAATCAAAGTGACATATTTAACAATCCCACAAAATTGTCTTTACCTTTCTGGGAGAGTATAATAGGTGTGATGGATTATTGCTTTGTCTTTTAAATATCTGTTCTGTGAGTTTGAGTCTTTTGTGTTTTAAGGATTTCTTTTATGGTGAAGGAAATAAACAACCTTTACCTGACACATTTTGAAAATTGAGTACGTTTTCCCGAAGGGATCCTGTGAATCTCTTTTTTAGGGAGAACCTAGATATGAGCCAAAGCTAAATTTTGTTTTAAAAGAGTTTCTTCAGAGTTTCACTCAGGATTGGGGTGCCTAAGGAATCAGAGAGAAACCCTCGAGATGGCTAACCTCCCTCCCTCGAGGGACAGCTTTCTTCTAGTCCGAGGGTGGGGAACCTTCGGCCTCCAGGCCACATTGTTGCCCTCTAGGTCCTTAAGTGTGGCCTTTTGACTGAGTCCTAGTTTTACCGAACAAATCCTTTTATTAAGGGGATTTGTTCTGTGAAGTTCAGATTCAGTAAAAGGGCCGAACTTGGGGACCTAGAGAGCCACATGTGGCCTCTAGGCCGAAGGTTTCCCCACTCTTATCCCAGACCTACAGTGAATTTGGGCTCACTGTGGCGTCAGAGCTGAACCCCTTCCATTTTATGGGAAACCCCTCCTCCTCTATAGTTTTATGTGTGAGATATAGAAAAGGACAGGATGGCTCCTTTCAGTGCGTGCGCTGACATGAAGTGACTTGCCCAGGCTTATAGCCCACCCCTAACGTTTCATTACATTCATGTACCACAATTTGTTCAGCCACTCCCCAACGATTGAGCACTCACGCGGGTTCTAGGTTTTTGCTTCTAAAAACTGACTCCACCTCCACTCCAGGGGCGGGGTGAGGAGGGGCGCTGGCTTCGGAGATGGCACCCTTATACCACCTGCCCACCCCAGCCACCCCACCTAACCCCACTTCGGAGGGAAGCTGGAGATCCTGGCCTGGAAGGTGATAGAAGAGGGGCGTTTTGAAGGGACAGGAATTCAACCTGGTAGCCTGGGGATGTAAGGCAAGACCACCCTTCTCACCCCTGGGCAGTTGAGCTGCTGCTGCTGCTGCTTCTGCTGTTGGCAGAGAGGGAGGGGAACTACAGTCCTCTCTCTGCGTCCCTCTTCCTGTTTTGCTCGTAACACCCCCTCCGCAGATAGGAGGCGGAGACGGAACTGGAGCCTCTGGGATTCCTAGCTGGGTCGGTTCCCCTTGGCCGCCTGCTGCCGCCTCCGGCATGTGGCCGCGTCTCGGGAGCAGGCTCCGGCAGGGCTGCTCTGCGCTCTCCCGTCTCAGTCAGGCCGGCGAGCGTTGGGGCCCATGAAGAAAGATGCCTCCAGCCTCCAAGGCGAAGGAGGGGGAGCCTACCTCCGCCGTGCACTCGCAGCTGGTCAAGCTACTGTCCGCCCTCTTCTACGGGACCTGCTCTTTTTTTATAGTTCTGGTAAACAAGACGGTGCTGACCACTTACAGGTAAGGTGAGGCTGGAGGCGGTGGCAGCGTGCGGGCGTGAGCCGTGTCCACGGGCGCGGGGTTTCAGGGGCACCCGAGGGATCGGGATCGGCAGTCTGCTTTCCCGCTGGCTTACTTACTAGGCTTCCCCATCCTACTTCCCATATCTGTTTGGGACGCTTCAGAACCTTAGACTAAACTTCCGACCTTCGTACTCCCTACGCCCTTCCTCTGGGGTTGTCATGGTAACCACGAGGGAAGCTGGCAGGTGTGCCAGGAGGGGACGGCGGTGCAGGCAGTCTTCGATGAATCTCCACAGCTTCCCACTCACAAGAAATTGACTTACCTCTGGCCAAGAGGTTGTCTATCTGGCACCCTATCCGTGGAAGTGATGGGCTGGCCGTTAGCTAGATCTTTTTTTTTTTTAAGTTTTAATATTATCTTTTGTTTTCGCGTCAGTCCTTTCCTCTTAACCTTCTCCTCCCCTTAGTCCCACACCCACTTGGGAAAACATAAACAAAACTAACAGTAGTCTCAGCTACGGTGCAGCTAGTCTGACTGTATACTATATCCCACATCTCCCAACTATAGCCTCCCATCCCAGGAAGGGAGGTGTATTTCATCTCCGATTGAGATTGGCCTTTTCAGTAATAGGCTTAATGTGGCTCAATGTAGAGAGTGAGCTTTTGGAGTCAGAAGACCTGAGTTCAAATTTTAGCTCTACCACTTGTCTTACCTTGGGTAAGTTAGTGATTAACCTCTCTGATTCAGTTTCCTCATCCATAAAATGAGGTGGCTGAACTAGATGGATGACCTTTGAGATCCTGCCCAGCTCTAAAACTATGAGGTTAAAGGCTGCCTTTCGGTGTTTCCGTTTGCATTGCTATAATCGTTGGGTATATTTTTCTGGTTCAGCATAACTTTCATTCAGTATCAGTTTATACAAGTCTTATGTTATAACAAATTCTTTATGTCTTTATTTTTTCCTTGGTGGGGTGGGGGAATGGAGAGAGAGAGAGAGAGACAGAGAGACAGAGAGAGACAGAGAGAGAGAGATCCTAATCATTGCCTAGAATGCACCCGGAATGATGTAGCACTAAATAAACGATTGTAGAATAATTTATCTGAACTTTCAACTTTGTGAGCAACCTTTTCCTGGTGAGAAAATTACGTCTACCCGTACAGACCAGCACCTCTTTTGCAATTTATTTTCTTGAATATTAGCCTGAGAGAATTGAGAAGTTAAGTGAGTCGCCCACAGTTTTGGCCTGCTTAGCACATTGCCTTGGCACATAGCAAGTGCTTAATAAATGCTTTTTTCCTTCCCTCACAATAATATTCAATTACATTCATGTACCACAATTTGTCCAGTCATTTCTCAGTGATTGGATACTGACTTGCCTACTAGGTTTAAAAAGTTCTTTTGGCTAGATTTTAGAATGGATGTGGGGGGGTGGGGGGTGAAGAAAGTACAATACCAGGGAGCAAAAGAGACTGATAGAAACCTTTGCTCACATTCTTCAGCTTAAAGGGATGTTGGATCCCTTCCCTATTGTTGAAAATAGTTGAGGGCAAACCCTTGACATTCTAAATTATTTGTTCAGTGCCTCTGTATGCCTGGCATTATGCTAGGCACTTTATAAAATTACTCAGACTAAAATCTCTGCCTATTTTCAATTAAAAAAAAAGAAATGAAAAATTTTCCAACCAGGCAAAATAAGTGGGTGCTTACTTAGTGAATTCAATCAATATCTCTTTTAGTTGGTACCTTTATGTAGTAGGTGTTTCCTAAAAATTTGTATAGAGAAAATTCATGCAGTTACATTTACATTTAAAAGGTGCTAATTTGAATCTTCACCCTCTAGTGTAACTTTTGTGGAGTAATAATTCATATTCCGTTGGTGTAGTATATAGAGTTGGTAGATTTGGAGTCAGGAAAATCTGGATTCAAGTCCTTTCTTTCACATTAGTTATGTGACTATGGGCAAGTCACTTAACCTCTCAGAGACTGTTTTCTCAGTCCCAGTCTCTCTGAGATTATAAAATGGGAATAATAGCTGAAGTACTTACCTCCACATAAATATGAACCCTAAAAGTAGAATTTGGTTTTCCTTAAAGTTAGGGTAAACAATATCAATTTACTTTTCTCAAGTTATCAACATATTCATAGAAATCGCGAGAAAGGCAATCATATTGGCACATGACAGTCTTTTTTTTTAATAGTGTGACCCAAACAAAGTTGCCAATTCTTGATCCCAGGGTCAAAAAGTTTTGAGAAAATTTTTCTTCAATTTTCCTACCCTTTTGTGATTTCTGGTTTATTCTTATATTGTTACCTAGCATCAGCATATTAAACCAAATGATTTTCTTCCTTTGTGCAGCTACTGAAGAGGCCAAGTAGAATCAATGAACTATAGTTTCCAAGAAAGCCCCTGGAGGGGCATGGACAGTTTGAGTTTCTGCCACAAACTGGGTTTGTGGGGACAACATTAAGGAAACCAGTCTTCCTTTTGGTTTAGAATGCCAACATTTTTATGAACCTTTTTTTCCTCCTATCACATATACATTGGGCAAAGTTTGAAAGCCTCTGCCTTGTAATTATCTGTACTGGAATTGTCAACTGGAGGTGTCTGGGAACTTGGATAGGAAAAAATATACATCCTTATTTCAATATAATTGGTTTCCTTTGCAATGCTATGCATTTTGTGTCCTATATTTAAAAACATTATTCTTTTTTTTAAAAAAAGTTTTTTTAAAAACAATTGGGGTTAAGTGACTTGCCCAGGATCACACAGCTAGTAAGTGTCAAGTGTTTGGCCTGAGGCCAGATTTGAACTCAGGTCCTCCTTGCTTCAGGGCCACTGCTCTATCCACTGGGCCACTTAGCTACCCCTAAAAATGTTATTCTGAGAAGGAGTCCAAGGCTTCATCAAACTGCCAAAGGGATCTATCACACACACACACACAAAGATTAAAATCTTCCAATCTTAGAGGGTGTTAAGGGAACATCCTCACAGGGTAACAGGACAAAATGAAATGTTTCGTAGTGGAATAGTATAAGCTTTGAATCCGGGAATCCTCTGGGTACAAGTAGAGTCTCAGATCTTATGTTTGTGACTTTAGGCAAGTCTCAGGCCTTCTAGGCCTCAGTTTCCTTATTTGTAAAGTAAAGGGGTTGTATAAAATGTAAAGTCTCTATGGTCCCTTCAACTTCTAGATTCTAGATTCCATGATTCTTAGTGCAAAGATAGCATGTGCCACGTAGTGCTCTACTGACATGCATAGAAGAGTTAAGATATGCCTTCAGGAAAAATATAAGCTAATTCACACTCAAGCCTGGACTATAAAAAGCAGATTTATGGGGGGAAGAGTACTAGTAACCAAAATGACATGAGTCCATGTAGAAGCTATTAGCAATTTTGTTCAATCACTGTGGAAGACACTATGGGGGCAAATTAAAAACCAAACAGTATCTGCCCTCAAGGGACTCACTCTATTATTCTGTGTGTACTTCATTTGTGTTTTCCCTGATTGGAATGAAATTTATAGGTTCAGAAGGAATAGGGAATTAAGTAGGAGGGGATCAAGAAAGGCCTCATGTAGGAGGTAGCACCTGATTTGTGCTTCTAAGGAAGCTAGGGATGATACAAAGTGGAGGCTAGGAAGGGAAGGCTTGTTCCTTTGTGAACATCTTCTGTAGTCTCTATTCATTTGGTCAAATAAATTGGCAGTGTTTTCTCATGCACAGCATACTTCTTGCAGTAGGCATTACAAAGTTAATAAATACTAATTATGTTCTGAAGGCAAAAGCTAATCATGTGTACATAGAATCATAGGTTTCAATAAGGAGTATACCTTAGATATCTAAGTATGAAGGAATTCTGTGAGTCAAAGGAGTATGACCTTCCTTGAAATTGTAGGAGCTAGTACTGTGCAAGAAAATAAACTAACACAAATAAAATTGGAATTTCCATATAATATATCAAAATATATGATATGTTGGTATATCATATGGTTGTGTAACATGGGTAAGATACTTTAATCATGCTTTGTCTTTCAGAGAGGGTTAAGTTTCTTTGGAACCACATTTTCTTTTCATGGAGTAATTGGGTTATAATAAATTATAAAGGAAAGCTTATTTACAGAAATATGATCCTCATCTTAGCTGCTTGAGAGATTTTAGTTTCCTATTGTGTTAAACAGAACTTTGTTATAGGATAGAATGACCTTTCTAAACTATTTACCATTTACCGGGATCATGGAAACCCAATCCAAGAAAAACATTCTTCTCCTTGTACTTTCTTTATGGCATTTTGGTATAGATTAAGGTAGAAGGTTTATGGGTGGCTTTTCTGGTTTATTAGGTTTAGTTCATTTGCTTTCAAATAGAAAAAAAGGAGTTGAAAAGATGTAGTTCTGTTTATATTATCAGGTTCTCTTAATTCCACCACACTACTGAAAATTGTTCCTGCCAAAGTTGCTAGTGATTCCTCTGTTGCTAAACCCAGAGGACTTCTCTCAGTCCTCATCCACATTGATTTTTCTGGAATAATATGGGAAAGGAATTCATACTAGTTTGAATCAGTACCTGCTTTATGGACTCAGAGTTGCCTAGGTTTTAGGTATTGAGAAGAGAAGTGACTTTCTCAAGGTAGAACAGCCATTATTTGTCAGAAACAATAAATCAACAAGCATTTATTAAATCCTTACTATAATGTGTCAGACATTATACTAGGCTTTTGGGATACAGAGATAAAAATGAAACAGTCCCTGACTTTAAGGAGATTACAGTGTAGCTGGAGGAGACAGTATGTACATACATAGATATAAACAAAATAGCTACTAGATAATTTGTGGGAGAACTCACTAGTGGATATGGCGATGGAAAAGCTTCAGGTAGAAAGTGGTGCTTGAGCTAAGTCTCAAAAGAAGTTAGGGGTTCTAAGAGATGGAGGTGAGGAGAAGGTGCTTTCCAGGCATGGAGGACAGTCAGTGAGAAGGCACAGAGATGGAGATGGAAT